GAATGAACATGTCAATTTGATATGTTTTTGACCCTCCAAAGATGAAGGAAAATGTATTTGACTTATAAAATGGTTCAACTTAGCCCTATTCATTGTATATATTATATCAAATAAAGCATATGGACTTTATTATTAGACATTGGACAATAAACTCTCATATTCTTTGAACACTTAACATGTGCTTGTACATGTATACATGTTTGTTATGATATATTTTCCCATCGTATGTATTACTTAGTTAACATAAATGAAATAATGAATAAGTTAAAGTGCATCTCTTTATTTTGTTAACCTACAGCGAAAATATATGTTGCAGTGTTATCTATGTGAACCATGTTCAAACTTTTTCAAATAGTAATGATACTTTTATACCTATACATACATTGCGTAATTGAATAACAAAACTGACAACACATCAATTATGAAAATGGATAATAAATAATAGCGAACCTGAAAAATAATCAATTACATATATGAACCTGGGTGGTCGGGTGGTGCAGTGAATAGCGCACTTGCCTTTCACCAAGGCGGCCGGGGTTCGATTTCCCGATCGGACGTGAAAAGGTTGGGGTCACCTGCCCGACTACGTGGGTTTTCTCCGGGTACTCCGGTTTCCTCTCACACTAAGACCCCCACGCGCTTACATCCGGGCCAACAAGAGTGATTAATATAAGTTGAAATAACTTGTTTCGTAATTGTTGTTAAATAAATAAAGTTTATATGTATATGAACCTCAAACTTTAATCTGTACACAAGTCTTACTACTGTGTTTTAAGTTCAGGGTTGATTCGAACTGGATGTAGCTTCTTTGAAATTAGTTCCCTTTCTAACAAAGCGGACACATATAAAACAGTTCAAAAAAAGTGTCTTGAAAAACACAAAAGCAAAAAGTTTTTTAAAGTATGCGAAATAGCCGTGACGTCACAGGCCGCGTATTTTATACCCCACACACGGGAACTATGAACTGTTGCGTAAACCAGAAAATAGTCCACGATAGGTCAACGCGACAGGTCAGTTTCGTCTGACTATACTCATCTACGAATCTCGGCTAAATATACCTAAAAATGAAATATAATATAGTAAAAGGTACTAGTTCATTAGAACTTGAACAAATATTGATAAATGCCAGTATGAATTAGAAAGAGTAACTGTTGACAACATCACAGGGACAGGAGAATTTCTTACAGCTACATTTGGACCAAAGCTAGGGTGTTTAGAGTAATTTTGTACGTACATGTAGCAAGGGGGATAACCTTTGAAACTGTGGCAACATTTGAAAGATCTATAATATGAAAAGGTAAAAAAATCCAATTCCAACATTGTCTTAAATATTGAGGATAAAAACTGTTTTGACGGTCATACTATAGCCATTCTTTTCAATAACCTTTTCACTACCATTGCCTCAAGCTTAGTTAGTAGACTACCTGATCCAAAGAATATTTTTAATTTTGGCTCAGAATTGTTTGTTGTTGTTTTTTTAACCAAACTAAAAGTTCTAGAAATGTAAGTTTTCATCTCAAACATGTTTCTGAAGATTTTGTTCATAGAGAACTTTGCAATATCAACCCTTACAATGGCACCAGTCTAGACGGAATACCTGCTAGATTTTTGAAAGACGGGGCTGATGTATTGAAAATTCTTATTACTTTTCTCATTAATACATCAATAAGTACTGGATCAGTACCCGATGAACTCAAGTTAGCAAAAGTAAAACCTTTATTAAAAAAAAGATAAACTTCAAGTTGAAAATTACAGACCTGTGAGCATACTAAGCACAGTTTCCAAAATTCTTTAAAAACCTGTCTACGCCCAACTGGAATATTTTCTAGTTTCTAATAACATACTCTATGAGTTACAATCTAGATTCAGAAGTGGTTATTCTACAGACACTTGTTTAATTCATCTATTTAAGCATATTAAAAACCAAACTGCTAAGGGATATATTTTCAACATAAAAAATAAGTTATCTTCAAAATATAACAATTACAGTAATTTTTACTTAGTAGTAGTGTTTATGTTAATGGGCCCCAGTGGAAATACGCTTCAGGGCTTTCTGTGTAATCCTTGTTTTAAGGGCAACATATATTTTAGTTATTTTATTTTTCGTAGGAATAGCCATCACCTATCTTGTAATTTATAAAAGTGTCAAAACTTTTTTTAGAGACTTATATACATTTACATTAATATGTTTTATAATGTAATCAGCCATATAAATTATTAGCGCCAAAACATGTATTGGGTACTGTATGAAATTGTTATGTTGTTGTACCTTTTTACCAAATATAATTTAATTGAATTGAATTGAATTAAAGATGTAGGCGAAAAGACGATTTTCTAATTACATTATATTCAGGTTAACAGTGCCCCAAGTCCTCATGCAATTATGAAAGTATCTGTCGTCGGCCTACACAGATGTACATGTGTCTTTGCAATAACATAAGTCGGACGACAATGCCCACATAAGATGGGCCACGTATTAAGAAACCAAGTTACCACTGCCAAAAAAAAGAAACTAGCATTCGAAACTTACTTTTTCGGTATGACTTTCTAGCTTTGAATAATCATTTCTGAAAAGTCAAGTATACCTTGCTGGACTTTTATGAAAACATAATGGAGATGAAATAATCAAAATATTATCAACAAACGTATTCTGAGTATAAAATAGTCTGCGGGGGCCATGCCTGGATTTGAATCCTGGACTTCACATTGCTACACATCGCTGAAACCGATTAAGCTACCTGGCCAAAAAAACTACACTAAATGTGCTCGTTGTTTTGTTGTTTTTTTGTTTTTGTTTTGTTTTTATCTAGCCCGAGTGTCAATAGCCACTCAGGGTTTTGTTAGTTTCATCACAAATAACTGTCACAACCTGAATAACTGAGTAACCTAGTTACATACATTATTCTGATAACGACTATTGCAAGGTCAAGATTACAAAACGACGTCAAAGTTCAAAATAACGTGGGTTATGTTTTATCAACACAAAAAATCTTTAAACTAGAAAGACAGAGATATACGTAGATAGCTAAGTGTTGTCGTTCTCGCACTAGCTTACTTTAATCAAACAACAGATGACTTTATCTTACATTTTGTGTATATATGTAGATATCAGCATGACGCGGGTCTACTAAAAGTGACCAATTGGTTTAGTCTGATTTACTCAAACGTTTTACAGACAGGGGTACCCAAATCAGAACACCTCAACATGTACATATCCGTCAGTTTATCTAAATAAGTGACCTCGTTTAAAATAGTTTTCATTGTTTTGACACTGTGTGATAATTTTTAGCATTTTTAATCGATTTAGTAAGTAACATAGCAGAGGTGGACAGACACACTTTCCTTCACTCCAACTGACATTTTTTGTCAAATTTTTGTCAATTTTTTTATTAAGAATGATTAATAAATGTATACCATTCACTTGTACAGCTAAAACAAATGTTCTCTGAAAGAATATAAAGTAGTTATGTAACTGGGATGTTTTTCTTCTGTGGCTATACATTTAATATTTATATAAATAGCATAATGATTGAAACACAATATAGGAATTCGGCCTTCCGGAATTAAACATTCCAACGACCAAAGTCGATACTTTCGGTAAACATCACAATATCACGTGGAGACGAAAACAGGGAAGTAACTCATGTGATCTTATCCCGCAATGGCGCGACCCTCTGTAATCTGGAGCTGGGAGTACCGGGTTTATGGCCTTGATTGAATACTTGTACTTACGCATCCTAGCAACATTATCACTTTGTTCCGTTACATTCGTTTGTATTTGTTTTAAGCATGACTTCTCCAATGTTTCTTGATGAAATACAAAACCTACAAAACACCTCGTAAGAGGGGTAGCACGTTGAGGCTTGTAACATTGAAGACATCAGAATTGTTTTTAATAGAAATCAGGCGAAATCATCTAATTACTTTTGGAAATTTGTAGAAAATGTTTATTAATATGCAATGAAATAATTAAAAATGTCGATATATTCACAAATCCAACAACATCTTTCAAGTATAAGGATACTTCTTTATTTCGTTTTCTTCCTAATTCCTATCTGTTCTATAAGCTACGGAGCCAGCCTGAATGTCTTTCTTACTTTTTACTCATTTGATCTTCTGATTAAATTTTCCCAGACAAAAAAATGAAGGTCAGATTAATGATTCAGCTCATAAAGGACAAGATCAGAATGCTTTCCCAAATTTTCGACATCTCCCTTCATAATCAAATATTCGTCTCCATAGGTGTTATCAATGTTATTGTGCCTCAGTGACGGTACTCAAGACGAGTTTTTTTTTAACTAAGGACCAACTATATACAATCGACGTGATTAAGGAACAAAGGATTGTTGACCTTATTTAAGGAAGCGCAGTGGAGAACAGACACATTTTATGAAGCGATTTAGAATAGACGGCTTATCACAATATTGATTTAGGATATTTGATGAGATTACACATAATTTTGATACGTGCATGATTTGAATAAAAACAATCAAGTGTACGTGTATATTGTCATAGTTATATTTAATTGCCTCCGTCATATGGACAATGTAGGTCGAAGGTATATCCATGCATTGTCCGTACATAGTTTCATTTGTTAAAATGAAAAATAGCTTTATCTATAGTATTTGAAAGAGATTCAAGCACTAGCCATTGATTCAAAGATAAATGAATTCCTTGAATAGTGGCATCGTTATTAATGATAAAACGTCTTAAATTAATGCGCACGTCTTCGTTAATGCGACACCTGGTAGTCATAATATTGTCACTCTGAAAGAAAATATATATACATGTGCATTTTCTATATGTTGTAACTAGAGGAGTATAAGGTACCTATAAATCGTTACTGAAGAAAATTGCAGAATCAACAAAAAAAATCATTCTGTCATTCAACTTATTAAGAAATATAATCAATTTCATAGATGCTCACACTTATATGTCAAACCGTGGAGTTGTGGTGGGGGGGCACGGGTTCGAAAGAGTACCAAGTAATGATTTTCTTTTTCGTGATCAAATCAATATTCGTTTATATCAAACAGTCGAGACGTCAAAGGTTAATCAGCCTCGTAACTGCCAAAATATGTATACTCACAGACCCGCAATACCATAGGGCGCTTAATTACCTTGTTGTAAGTCATACGGGCGACGGGAGAGACGCGGCGAAAAATCGCAATATTTTGCATTAAGACTGAATGTAAATGGTGTTACACATTTTAAAACAACCTAAAACGATATAATGATCACTGCATAAACCAGCTGTGGATTTAAAAAGCCTAATCACAGCCACCATATTCTTATAAATCAAAAATACGGTGACAATAAAACAAAACGTCTTTCTTTTCCTAAAAGTACCAGTAATGATGATAGACAAACCGATTGTGAAGTTTAAAAAGCGTTTTTCTAGAACCAACACATGGTTTATACTGAAACTCGAGGTACGTTAGCCTGATATAGTGATTGTGTTGACAATAATAAGTTGTCTTCAAGTGAAACAATTAACAAACGAATAACATGTCTTTATGTCAACACACGTGCTCCGCACTCGTAAAAATTAAATGTGCATCTTTGCATACTGCCATAAGGGAATCCATTACATATCCTCTATAAATCTTAATGATTTCGGCCCGCTAATTTTTTATGTAAATAAGAGAAATATATTAATTTCATGTGATATGCATTCCCTAACATCCTTATTGGCTGAATTGTAATGACGTAGAGGTAGTCGATTTGTGGTATCAACTCAGATGTTCGGATGGCGCAGCGGATAACACAAAATTAAGTGATAAAACATCTGCCCTATTAACATTGCTAGAGTTTATAGTCACGCGACTAAATTATTGTGTGCAATTCTAAGCTCACTATTTGGTGATTCGGCCGTGCTGTTTGTGTTGTCATCTTGTCTCATGCAATTTTACGCACATGATACTTCTGATATCACCTATCATGTGAGCATGTGCATCCACGTTTCCTCCACGCCATACAAGCGTGTAACGTGGAGTCATGGTCCATCGTAGAGTAAGAGGAACGTGTCGGTGAAGTAACTCCAGGTGAAATTATATTTCGCTCGCCTACCTCTCCACGCTCACTCCGCGTTCGCAAACGTGTATAGCCAGTGGAGAGTGGTTGGACATTCTCCATGGTGAAGAGTATTGGTGGAGTTGACTTTCCACACTAGAGAACGGCACCGAGAAGTGTGGAGAGTGTATGACTCCAAGCGGTACACTGTTGGGCGTGTTTGATTCGCTACACCGTGTACACAAGTGTGCGTTGGTGTAAACCAAACGCAATCAAGTAACATGGTGTAACCACACTGGGTGCACGCCTTCTTCACCTTCCTCACCTTCTTCCGAGGTAGAACAGCCGGTGTAGATGCCATTAAACATGACCGACGACTGGTTAGAGGGCATAGCAAGTTGGTCACAAATGTGATTTTTACATTTGCATGGTTTCAATGAGAATGTTGGAACCAATAATTACGTTGAACTACTTTTATCTTCGTGTCTTTGTGTCTTGGATACATTTTAGGGAGATTTGGTTAGTTGAATATCACATCAAGGTCATACTATTGAATTCATCAGACTTGATACAGCAGTATAATAAACGCACCTTCATCAGCAGAGACGATTGTCTCGTATAATTTGAGCAACATGCGTACGGGTGTTTTAAAGTTGTAAGAAACACCGGTATGCAATATGTGTACACGAGACAATCACCTGCGTTCACCAGGTTAAGTAAATTTAAAGAGACAAATTAATGATAGAAAACATGGCCTCATCAAAGCGAATGGTATCTGCAGGTAGGAATAGAGTCATACTGTCCGCCATGTTTAGTGCGATTCGGAATAGCATGGTGTAGCGAATCATTCCCGCCCAATGTCTAACATGGGTTGGTGCAAGCCACAACATGCTACTCATTTGCTGCAAGAAATCAATATCTTAATTCTAAGTTTTGCTATCATTTCATAAACAATTTTTACGCTGAGAATTAAGGATGCTATCAGTCACTGAAAAGTACCAGAATCTCGATCTGTCTGGTATACTATATCCGTCTAAGTGTTGTATGCATGCTAATGGCAAAGACACACGCGACCTGCACCATAGTTATTAAAATGGAGAGATATCATAAAAATGTTTAAAAAGGGTAATAAATATTTGTGAGTAAATCGAAGATATATCATCATGGAATTCCATCGCAATATTTCACTTGGAATCCGATATGGGTTTCATTCCGTCTCACCAATACTATATACAATACTAACTGAACTATCGACATCACCTCTAGCCAATGTGTCAGTCCACGCTTCCGAAACTTTCATACAACATATGTATCTGCATGCACACGTCACTCCCAATATAAATACATTACTCGCACTCGTTTCTCCTGTCAGGTGAGTCACATATTCGCACATATACACGTGAAGCCATATACAGGTGAAGTCACACACGTACACACATGCACGAGAATTCACATACACACGTACGCACATGCACGAGAATTCACATACACATTCGTACAGAAAATATCACCCCATTCACTTGCTATACCCGTAAGTATGCATAGATGTGTTTATAAACCATTGTTAGCTTATATAAGCTGCATTCCAGCTAAGCGTTCTGCCACTTCTATTTCTACCATTACGCGGCCACCATCAATAAACTGATTATTCTGTCACTTTTGGATGCGCATGTAAGTTATTTAAAAGAGTGTATTGTGCTATACATTCTATATACACACAGTGTAGTTAAAACACCCTGGATAGTTGTTTGGTTTGTCTCATGTAGGTGAGTCTTGAAACATTCAAGACTACCAGCACTGGTTGCGTTAAGCTTGATCGGATATCACATTATGTCCAGCAATTATTTCTTTCTCACCTTCGCTTCCAACACATTTGTATTTGAGTTGTATTGTACACATATAGTCACGGATATACTCGGTAATAGATACTCTTTCATTCACAATTGACTTCAATGTACTCTTGCATGTTTATGTAATCTTGGCAATCTTTGGCAGACAGTTAAAGAATTTTACGACCCAGTGTAGGAGAAAGTTCCACATTGATCGCGCTATGCTGACTCGGTTAATCAGAATCCTCCACACAATTATGATGACCAGCGTATTAGTGGCAAAACTCAGCCGCTGTAGCCTGCAACAAAAAATTACACTACTACAGTGTCAACACACAAGTACAAAATTCTAACTCATGTTCCGAAGGGAGATACAATAGAAATCGAGGAAAATCAAAGAAAAGCTTCGTGAACCTCTATCCCAAAACGAAGGTGGCAAGACTTTATAGCTAGCTGCTTCAGTTTTTACACTTATTTCTTTATTTGGAATATATAATCGAAGAAACGTAAATAGACGGCACCTGATTTTTATTTTTCCTTCAATGCAAGTTAACGTAGGAGCCAAAAGTGATGTGTTGATCTCTTCAAAAGAGTTATAGTTATGTCAGGGCATTTGGTTAGACGGAACACTCGTAGGCAGGCTTTTTACTTAAAACTTCACCATCAAAATTATAAGAAAAAAAGAGTATAACTTCATTGCAGTATAATTTATTTTATTACTATAAGATTCTAACTGTATCTAGTTGGGCACGATACCCGATTTCAGTTCCAGCGCTCTGCCATTCGAACGAAGTGCTCATAAAATAACATTTGGTAATCATAGATGACAAGAGTATTGGAGATATGCCCGGGACAATGTCATGCACTGACTGACTAAAGTACTTAAAATGTAATGTAAACGGGCAGTTGAAGTGGCAAACTAATAGGGAAAAAGCATTTTAGTGTAACATGTGTGTCATTCTCAATGCTCCAGGGGTTATGCTCGCTTTGGCTCTTGGCACCCCTAAAACATGTCATAGCAAATTGTCTGCTTAGTATGCACCACTTTGTCCTTTTGATGTACATCAAAAGAATCTTTCGGCCGCGTAACGGTAAAATTGACTAACTTTGAAGTCAGGTATCGCTCCTCTGTAATCCTCAAAGGACAGGTATCAGCCCAGCGATTGGTCAGGTATTTTTTACCCAAATAGCTAGCCGCGTGCCTTCAGTTTTGCTATGACATATTCCAAGGGGGGCAGAGAGAGAAAGTTAGAGTAACCCTGCAGTATCGAGGATGCATGTGTGTGCGCTTACCGTTTGAGCGTTGTTCGAGCCTTGGGTAGTTCTGCCAGCTCCTCTTTCATTACGTAACACTTGATACCGAGACAGTAAGCTTCTATATATCTAGGCCACGATATACTCCGGGGATCAAAATTGAAAGTCTGAAAGTAGATTTGGAATTATTTACTTATGTTGTAAGGTGTTTCGCAGCTAATTGATGCTTTATTGACAATAAAATAATCTTCACATAAATTTATGCCAGCAACAAATATAACACAAAAATTGGTTTGGTTTGTTTGTTTTGTACGTTCTATTAACAGCTATGGTCATTTAAGGACGTGTCAGGTTATGGTGGTGGAGGAAAGCCGGAGTACCCGGAGAAAACCACAGACCCCACGTAGGCCTCGAACCAGCGACCCAGTGGTGGAGGGCTAGTGATAGTAGAATGTCAGACGCCTAAACCAATCGGCCACAGCGACCCCTTAACACAAAATACTGTAGCACTACCAGAAAAAAGGTACAGAAAACGAGTTCTATCTCAGTATCGTCGTCAAGATATTTTGTCCGAACTGACACTCCAATAACTGTACACAGTCTATAGAAAGCTTACACTCAAGCCTCAAGATTCAACAACCTTTGTTCTCAACAAAAGGACTAGATCGTAAGACGTCGGATGACGTAGTCACTTTGGCAAGGAAAAAGCCAGTCTGTTCACCTGAAACAAACGCTGGATAGAATACACTGCCTTATCTAGGTACAGGGATCACCTGATTGGCCTGGATGGAGAGACAACTTGATTAATCTGGATAGCAGTACAACCTGAATTATATGGAAAACATGACAATCTGATTGACAAGTGTTTACTGGACTACCGAGGATTACCAATCCTCTTCCCTTTCGTACGGTTCTGATGGCGTTTTTACTTTGTCCACATTTGTTGTGGTCTTACCTTTCGGTCGCCCGGAGACATAACGGCCAGTAACATATCTAGGTTATCGGACTTGAATTCCCAGTCCTTATTTGTGAAGTAATCCAGAATTGCCGTGGCTTTCCTAAGACGGTCCTCTAGTTTCCGGAAACTGACAAAAACAAATAATATTGAGCAAATATGACCGCATGAATGGTTGTTTACAAAAGACTGGCATACGTGAAAAGCATTTGCCTCAGCTCTTTATCTCATCCCTGCTATAAGAATATCTGCATCCAAGACAAAACATTCAAAATATATTGAATGGGAATGTTTAAATCTAGTGGACGAGCTCATAGACGGATAGGTTTAACAAATCAATGTACTCTAAACGTAACATTTTTGTTATAAGAACACTCCATCTGGGTACTACTTTTACTGACATTTATGAGACGAGACAAGACTGACGGATACTGAACATACTATACAGAATGCGTCATTAACATGTTCAACATATTTACATACAAAGTATATTGTATATGACGTCATTTACATTTTAAACTAGGCATTACTCCAAAGGTGTACAAGTCAACGGATTTCTAGACTTACATAAAATGTTGTTGACTTTTCTTTAAAAAGACATATCACCTTGTATACAGATTGTGTAACGTCAATGGATTTTTGACTTACATGTGGTTATTTTGTCGGTACACAACATATACATCTCCCTTTGTATATATATTGTGTTATTTACATACATTCTAGACTTACATGTCCTTCACAAAAACATATCAGTTTGTATGAAGTCAACGTCGTTTTAGTTTTGACATACATAGGTTTTATATGATGTAAATGTTAACATGGGTTTTAGATGAAGTCAATAACTCTTTAGTTTGGACATAAATGTTTTTTTATGTTTTCAATGACTTTTTAGTTTTTACATTCATGGGTTTTATATGATGTCAATGTTAACATGGGTTTTATATGATGTCAGTTACTTCTTAGTTTTGACATTCATGGGTTTTATGATGTCAATGTTAACATATGTTTTATATAATGTCAACTACTTTTAGGTTTAAATGGGCTTTATTTGAAGTCAATAACGTTTTAGTTTTATATGAAGTCAATGTTAACATGGGTTTTATATGAAGTCAATTACTTCTTAGTTTTGACATTCATGGGTTTTATATAATGTCAATTACTTTTAGGTTTAAACGGGCTTTATATGAAATCAACGGCGTTTTAGTTTTTACTTACATGGGTTTTATATGATGTCAATTACTTCTTAGTTTTGACATACATAGGTTTTATATAATGTCAATTACTTTTATGTTCAAATTGGCTTTATATGAAATCAACGGCGTTTTAGTTTTTACTTACATGGGTTTTATATGAAGTCAATTACTTTTTAGTTTTGACATACATAGGTTTTATATAATGTCAATTACTTTTATGTT